CACTATAATAGGTCCTCGGAGAAAGAAGCACTTAACCATCTGTTGATGAATTATCGTGACACCCCACACCCAGCTACTGGTATTCCCCCTGCTGCTATGCTTTTCAGAGAGGGTAGTAAGAGTGCCTTCCCAAGAAGATCTGTACCTGCAAAGCAAGTGGAAGAGGCTAGTGGAAAGGACAAGGCAATCAAACAGGATCGTCAGGACCAAGTTAATGCATCTAAGTATAAGATACCGTCAGAGTTTCAAATTGGAGATGATGTCATGTTACGAAATTATAGAAAGTCCTCCAAGTTTGATCCTGTATTCCTTCCAGAGAATTGTGAGATTGTTGAATGCTCAGATGATGGTCGATTCCTAACTATCGAAAGAAAGCGTGATGGGACGATCTTTAAAAGACACCCGGATGACGTCAAATGTTACTACGGACCGCATGATACAGTTATGGAAAGGGGCGTAATATCGGATGAAGCTATCGAAAATGGGGAATGGCATAGATGGTTTGAGCAGTGTAGACCCAAGGTAGATGACAGTTATGAAAGCGGAAATCAAGATGAGGAAGATAAACAAGAGACTAACCACGTAGAACCAGGGCATGAGAATGGAGGCGAAGTAAGCAGCGCAAACGACTGCCCTGGATCTTGTATTCCTCGTCGATTACAAAGGCTACGAAGACCTAACCCCAGATATATTGACTACGAAATGTAACATTTCACAATGATGGGTATATTCAAGGACTAAAATAACTGTGTCATTATTATGGACATTTTCTGTTAAAAAGGGGGGATAAGGTACCCTATATTTATATTTAAATGAATTATTTAGTGGTATCATAGACATATACCGCGGGACGGAGGGAACGGGGATTCAAGTATGGCGGACGAGAGATGTTAGATATTATTTAATGTAGTGTGAGAAAAGATTGAGAATGATGCATCAATCGCTTTCACTGTGGAATATGAGAGATACAGATCAAGTGTTCGCCAGGGGAGTGCAGGGAAAACAGCGCAGTTCTGGATGATTTATCCAGACCTAATGCAAGCTCAATGTACGGCGCATGGTGGAGTTCAAGAGAATAATGTTGATATGATGATTAATGTGTGGTTGAAACTATTGCCCATGTATTTTGTACTGAACAAGATAAATTACGCACGGTATGGTTCCTACTATGTATATACGCTGATAAACACGCTGATAAACATGGAACATTTGTATCCTGGTGTGAGAAACTTCATTGATAAAGAAGGATTATCAGTTCAAGCACAAGACTTGTATCTGTTGCGGACATCGATTGATCAAAGGGGCGAGCAGACGATAAATCATGATGCAAAAACCAGTGGTAAGTTATTTGACATAACCTCAGAATGTACCAATTCATGCTCATATTGTTACCATAAAGGCCACAAGGGCGATAAAGTTTGATCCTATGGTTTGATTAAAAAATTAAAATTCTGATCATAATATCCGTTCCATATGTATTCAACAGGATTCCGTCTTAGACCTGCAATATATGTTATGTAATAATATGTGTTATGTAATTTACCAGTTTCCAAATTATCATTCAATAGGTGGTGTACGAAATTTTGCGTCAAATAGTAACGCAATCCGTAAATGGTGCCTAAATCGAGCGGAGCAGTCAAAGAACACAGGAAAATTAAAGGAAAAAGCTGGAACATCTACAACGACAAATAGTCACAGCTGCTTGTGACCATCAAAGATTTTGCAGTCTGATAAAGCTGTTCGTGAAATTATAAGAGTATTGACAGAAGAGTATATTAATCCGTTTGACGTTGTTATTGAGGGAACTGAACTTTTTAATTTGAGTTCTGGAGTTCCCTTGCACTGTACTGATGTATTGAACTGCTCGGAAATTGGTCAATTAAAATTCGAGAAATTTACGAAGGAGAGCATAAGCTGTAAGCTAAAACCTTTCCATGATCCTATCCAGAAAACCAAAATTACCATGTTTAAGGATATGACGAAATCGACAAAGGTGGATAACAATGGTAAATCATTGGTTATTGAGGCAAATAGAAACATCCTAGGTAAATTGCTGGCAATTTTAGCCAAACACAAAAAGAGTATTGATTTTAATTTGAAGTGGCTCTTTCCTACCCGCTCTCAACCACACCACTATCCATTTCAAATCCAGATAGATCTCGTCTGGTGACACAAAAAAGTAAGTTTGTTGAGGTGCTTTCATCGTTTAATTATGAGCCTGGGGCCCAAACAGAGATGGTTGATGCAGATATATTTGTGACAGATTTCATTGCCCAAATCAGAATTATTACCAAGGCGGTTTCCGATACCTACGAGGAGTTAGCTATCAACTTTCTTCAGTCAATCCCTAAAGGTTACGCGCGCGTTGATTTGGTTGCTGACCCTTATCGCAGGGCTAGTATCAAAACAGCTGAAAGGAACAAAAGAGGAGTGGCGTCCAAGGTTATTATAGTAAAGTCGGAGAAATCAAAGATTCCCCGAAACTTCAAAGCGTTCATGATGAATAGTGAAAACAAATGCCGCCTAATCGACATAATTTTTGACTTCGTCATCAACGAAAAAGCCTTTGCCTGCAAATTCTCAGGGCCCGCGGAGCGTATTAGAGAGTGGGGGGGCTAAATCATCAATAAAACCCCCAATTAATTAATTTAGAAAGTTTCATTTAGATTTCTATTTTAATAATTTTGGCTGTCAAAAAAAGTGGGGGGGGGGGCTAAAGCCCCCCCAGCCCCCCCGTCTCCGCGGTCCCTGATTCTGAGAGCTAACAAAATTCTTCTTTCAAGAGATGGTGAATGTTCGGAATCGGAAAATTCGACTGATTCCTTTGAAAATGTTTTATGTAAGCTGTATACGGGAGTAAGAAAATTCGAGTAAACGACGCCTGTTATAAGTTATTTCAGAAAAAGTACATGAAGAAGAATAAAGTAATTGATCTATCACTATTACTACCATGTCGATCCTCACTAATATTCTTCCCTTAAATCGCTGTAATTATGTGGCTTGCACGTGGAAAAGTTCCGCCGTAGCAAATATCACGTAGCCATCTCCAAGTCAACAAGGTTGGACTGGAGATTTCGAAATTAATTGGCATGACGAAGTTTTTCTAACAGATTTGGAAATGTTACTTTTGGACAATACCGATAGTGAGGAAGAATATGAAGTTGGAACAGACGAAGAAAGTGGACACAGTGAGGACAAGTTTTAATGTTTTCAAAATTTCCGCGTCTTACATTTTAAGGTGCATTAGGAAGTACAAATGGTATAAATCATTAACAAGATCCTTACTGCCCATGCTCTCCAATCTTTGAAGATTTGCTTTTGAAAGGCAATTACATGTAATTCTAAAATATAAATGTTGGACAAACTTATGAAATTACTTGAGATGATTCTGAACAACTAAAAATATGTTTGCCTCTCCCATGTATGGATATCATATACAGAATCAGCATTTGTAGTGCACAACTTTGCAAAACAAATCTGTAGGCAATCTGTTAATAGATTTGAAGAAAATGAACATTTCAATATAAAGCCAAACGTTACTCATTGCTCTGCAAAAAGAAGTGATTTAGATCTATGCCTCCTGATTAACTAAAGTAGGCAGTTCTTGTGAATATTTGGGAAAATAGAATCAAACAAGATGGACCTATTTGATTTGCATAAAAATATCAAATATGCCGGGGAAAAACAAAGGAGATCATGATTTGTTTGTGGAAAACCCCTAAAATGAACGTTGTCACCCCTCTGAAAGGCCACGTCTCCATGGCAATACACGCACAAAGCTCAACTATGTTTTTCAACCTTTTGTGAAGTCTTTCTAGTCTCAAAACATGCATCACTGAACAATTTGTAACCTTTAAATGCAGTCTGACGGGTACTTATTGATTCTTTTGATTAAATTAATTTGTTTCATACCCATGGCTTTACCCCCCTGTTCCGAGTGAATGCCACCTCCCCAGACTGAAAACCATCAAAATTCTTACACTATAGGCATTGGTCTTTCAGAAAATCACAATAAGAATTTCTGCCTATAAAGTTCAAAAAATGACAAAATTTGCCTGTACTAAAAAACATTCCAGTTTTAGGTCATGTAAAAATATTCCAGATTATCATCAGGAGTAGCAAAATATTTTTCTATTTTTTTTTCGAACAGGCCTGATTATCATACCTGAAACAGGCATTTAGCTATAGAGGTGCAGTGGCCTGGAATAATCTACCAAGTGAAATTAAAAATTCTGAAACTGTTAATATTTTTAAAGCAAAACTCAAGAATATCAATTGAGAGTACATTTTAATATTGTTAGTATTTGTTACATTAGTAAGTAATATGTATGTTGAATAGTCTGTATCAGTGTATATTGTAGATAGTGTTAATTAACACGGCCTGTTGGAAGACCACATTTTTCTTTTCCTTTTCTTTTATACATAATTAAATTAAATATAAGTAGTTTGTGAAATAGTACCGTGTTTAAATAAAGTTCAATAATAATAATAATAATAATAATAATAATAATAATAATAATAATAATAATAATAATAATAATAATAATAATAATAATAATAATTTAATTAATAGATGCACGGAAGAATACATGTATGGGCAACTATGTTTGGCTCTGATTTAAGAGAATTGTACGTACTGTGGAAATGTGATGCTGAAGATATCATTAAAATTTATAAGGAAAAGTTGTCGATCAAGAGGAGGTAGTTGCCGTCGCGAAGAGGTTTTTTGTTTATCCCCTAAAAGTTTGCAAGTTGTAATTTAAGTGTAATTGTAATTCAGTGGTATTTCCTCGTATTTTGAAGTACTAAGCAATATTGTTTTCAAGATTATGATCGCTGGCTCTGTCCACTGACGTATTTGTGGCGACAGTATCAGTCTTGCTGGCGCCATGATTGGAGAAGTCTTTCCACTTATCTGCCAAATCTAAAACAGAACAAAGGAGCCAGAAATCTCACTTAGTAATTTAAATATTACGTTAAAATATGGCTTCAAATGTAAACAGCAATTTGCATTACGCGATGTTGTAAGTCGCAAAATGTCAGGATACACCCTTTTGGAAAGTATGTTACTATACAGACTCGTTTTCGTGTTTGAAAACTTAAGTTAAAAGCGCAACATCTCGATTACGTAAACAATTAACAATTATTCGCCGAAGGCGAAGTGAATACCGGTGAATATTCACCGAGACGAAGTCGAGGTGAATATTCACCGTAATTACTGAGCCAGAGGCGAATAATTGTTTTAGTATAAAATTTTAAGGAATAAAACAAAATATTCAAGTGATCCAACTATCAGTTTATTAATTAAAATTCAGAAATAAAACTGTTTCCGACCGGTTTACGGTTACTGTTTTAGTGTTGCAGTGTTTCTTGTACACGCGCGCTATGAAAATGGCTTCCTGTGTGACTTTATTGCTTTTATATTACAAAGTTGTTTTTCTCGATTTCTGCTTAGAATATAAACACAATGATGGAATGACTTTTCACCATATTTGTTGAGGCTACACTACTTGGCATTGCAGCTACGAAGTTGGACGATGATTTTATAAAGAATATTAACACGCTCAACTGCATGTTAGTGGTTCAGAAGCCTTTTAAAGGATAAAAGCTCTGTGTTTTGACTGTTGTCTAAAATAGCTTCAAAAAGTCATCAATAATTCATGAGGAAAACGCAAAGAAAAATCATAAACGTGTCGTATCTTTATATGCGATAGAGATTTCCTTGGACATACACAACGAATTTTTTGAAAGTTACTTCTCCAATGAACTTAATAGAATTAAGACATTCGCAGTGCGTGTTTTATCAGACCATCTTTATTTTGGATAAAACACTGCTGCTCATGTTTTAAATAGTACATATAAAAATCTCTGCAAATCTCCCTGGTTGCCGAGCAAACGGCATGCATGATGCTAAATATAAATCTCGACTAAGTAATTACCAAACGTCAATCATTCTTAATGGGCGAAAACTAATTTGTCATAGGCATTTGGGCAGGCGTTTTCTCAAACGACGCCCTTTACTGAACGCCTGCTACGCAGGCTACCCAACAGTCGGAATAGTTTTTGCTATTTGTTTGAAGCAAATGTTTCGGAGTTTTAAATAATAAGTTTTAAATTGTACGTGAATATGTTTGACACAGTAAAATAATAAAGAAATCCTACCTTTCAAGTTAAAGACAACATTTTGTGCTTTTTCTGTTTTCTGGGATGATTTTTTCAATGTTTTGTCGATTTTGAAACCAAATTTTCCGAATCATTCTTTTTGAAAAGAATTTTTTACTAGTCTGCTAGTAAATAATGCGTCAGATTTACTATTGTCAACTAGCCAATCAGAACGCGCGAAAGCTCATTTGATATGCAAAATTTATACTAAGGCTCTTTAGCCAAGGTAACGTACTTTCCCAAAGGATGTATTAGTTAGATCTTTTGCAACTTGTACTCTGGCTAGAAGCAAAACAAAGTCAGTCCAAGTATTAAGTGTAATATTGGTATGATTTAAGTTCCTTCTATCCTGGTTATTCTGTACATGTATTTGTAATAATTTAAATTTGTACTATGTATACAGTAACTTTGTAATATGTATCATGCAGTGTTGGTTATGAGGCAATTCTTTAATATAGTTCAGGCAGTGCAATATATTAGGCCATTAACGCTTACACTATAATTCATGCAATGTCGTTATCAGGTCATTCCTTAACAGTATACATTCATCCATGCATGGTCTATTACAAAATCCGGCATTCTGATTGGCTACTCAACCACGGACCATTACATAAGGGACCACGGTCGAGAAAAGAAAATGACGGAATTTTATCTTTTGCAAAGATTTCGGCGGAATTTTGTAGGAAATTCGTTTCATGAAGACGTTTAATGGTAGGTAGCAAAATTTAAACAGCGTGTTTTAATAATAAATCTGCTGTTACTGGCAACAAAATGTGACACTGAAGACAGAAAAATTGCAGAGCATTCTTTTTGTGCATATTACTAGCAAAACCATTGAAATTTCAGTTGCTTGAGGACACTTAATCGTACGCTTTCCTTGGCCTTTAAGTATCTTTTTGTCTAAAATATGATTTTTGTTCAGTATATAGCATGCAGTTTATAGCAGCAATATTTTCAGGTTGTTTCCCCTTTAATCCCCGAGCCGACGGCGCGAAGCGCCGTGCGAGGGTACTAATTCCCCCCAGCTATTTACACCCGGGGAAACGAAAGCAGTAGCGAAGTCTAAAGTTCATCAATGATCGCCGGCGTGACCAACGATCTTGAGTGGGTGGTCATCGTCACTAATCTCAAAATTATGGCGGACTGTCATGAATAGCGGACACTGATTGGTCCAATTTAAAGTTTGCATTATAACGACTGCATGACGACAGCGAAATTGCAAACATTTCTTGATTTGATGATTGATAAATTTCTTGCGAACATATTTCATTTTTGATCGCATTTTTGCAAGATTTTGTAAATTTCAAAAGCTTTCTCAGATAGAAAAGGCGAAAGAATCGGCTAAAAGAAGGGAGCCGACGTTAACGAAGGTAAGTTTGTTTTAAATATTTATTTTATAATTGCTTTAACACCCGACAGCCTTTGGCTTTGCGTATATGAAACAACTAAACAAGACAGCATATAATTTCAATGTATCTTTAATATTGATTCCGATCCCTTTTTTATTATATTGAATGTTTTAAATAAAAAAGAAGGCAAAGTTATTTGCATGCGAGAATTTGAAATTATTTTATTCAAAGTTTATCGATAAAGCCATTTAATTAAAGGCAGTTTCAGCTAGTTTTATAAAGAATACTTCAAAAAGTTTTGCGAAGCGTTTGTGGTTGAATTTTACCTTAAATTGAAGCTTATATTACGTATAATGATATACCTAACATATATATGTTGGGAAATTGATAATTGTGTAATTAAAAGTGATATTCTCAGGCGATTTTTCAATTACAATGGTTTTGTCAGCAAGGCCAGGGTTTCTGCATGCATGTATTTTCCAGTTCTATTAAATGGTCTTTTTTGTGTGCTTCGACATTCTCGCCTAAAAGTGGTTGGAGTTGTGAATACAAACTGCAATCATGATTGGAGTTCGTATTTTGCGTAGGAGTGTATGCTAAAACAATTAGACAACTTCGCTTCGCTGTCTGTGGCGAATAATCAACTCAGGCTACACCTTCGTTGTCTACTCGCTCATAGGCAACGAGGTCGACG